GAATATTCGATTGTTTGGGGTTGGAATTATAAGGGACCACTTATACTTTAATGGAATTGACCAAGGCTATAAGATTTGGACATGGCACGGAGAACCTTGGGAATGGACTACTAATGCTAGTGGAAATGTGGAAGAAGATGAGCAAAGTAGGTTCAGTTTTGTTTCTGAAGAATTAGGGATGGATGATAATGATTTAGGCGATATTGGATCTGATCCTTATGAGTTTGCCAATGTGATTGGGGATGGAGATCAACCCTTGTACCCTGGTTGCAATAAGTACACGAAGTTGTCGGCTTTGGTGAAGTTATATAATTTGAAAGTAAAACATGGGATGATTGCTTTACAGAATTATTGATACTTCAAAGAGATTTGCTTCCATAAGGAAATACACTACCTTCCTCTATTTATGAGGCAAAAAAGACTTTGTCTGCTTTAGGGATGAGTTATGAGAAAATCCACGCATGTCCCAATGACTGCATCTTGTATAGGAAGGATTATGAAGATTCAACTAATTGTCCTACTTGTGGTATCTCAAGGGGGAAGGAAGGCAAAGATTCAATCTTGAAAGAGGGTATGCCAGCAAAGGTGGTGTGGAATTTTCCTCCAATTCCAAGGTTTAAAAGGATGTTTCAATCACATAAGACAGCTAAGAGTTTGACTTGGCATGCTGCTAGAAAATCAATTAACGGTCATATGTCTCATCCAGCGAATTCCCCGCCTTGGAAATTTGTTAATGATAAATGGCCCGAGTTTGGTAAAGAGCCGAGAAACTTGAGATTGGCTCTCTCATTTGATGGATTCAATCCCCACAGTTTTGCCAGTTATGTTAGTTACATATAATCTCCCACCATGGCTATGCATGAAACGGAAGTTCATGATGTTGACCTTATTGATTTCTGGTCCTAAATAGCCCGGAAATGATATAGATGTCTACTCAAAGCCTTTGATTGATGATTTAAAATCTCTATGAGATGGGATTATAGGAGTGTATAATGCACACATAGGAGAATACTTTACACTCAGAAGTGTATTACTGTGGACAATTAATGATTTTCCTACCTATGAGAACTTATCTGGTTGTGTCGTTAAATGATATAAAGCTTGTCCAATATGCAGCGATGATACACCTAGTCACAGGTTGAAAAATGGCCACAAAATTTGTTACATTGGGCATAGAAAGTGGTTACCAATCAATCATCCATATCGGAGGCAACGTGCAACTTTTAATGGGAAACCTGAATATGGCACGCCTCCCAAGCCATTAACCGGAGAAGAAGTGCTGCAAATGGTTGAAGTTATTAACTACATATGGGGCTCAAAAAATAGGGGAAGTGTTGGTGAGAATGATGGTAACAGAGTTTGTTGGAAGAAGAAATCAAAATTCTTTGATCTCGAGTATTGGAAATACCTTCCTGTGAGGCATGTCCTAGATGTTATGCACATTGAGAAGAATGTTTGCGATAGTATCATTGGTACATTGCTGGAGATCCCTGGAAAAAAATAAAGATGGGATTGCTGCTCGGTTAGATTTATTGAACATGAGGGTCAAAACTGATTTGGAACCCGAGTATGGAGAAAGACATACTCGCTTGCCTCCAGGGCCTTGAAATTTGTCAACAGCAAAGAAGAGAGCAGTTTGCAATTCTTTCTATGGTATGAAGGTCCTTGAAGGTTATTCTTCAAATATAAAAAAAAAATCTTGTATCTTTAAAAGATTCAAGACTTCTTGGCCTTAAATCTCATAATTGTCATACCTTGATGCAACAATTGCTCCTTATGGCAATTTGTTCTGTTTTGAAGAAGCCTGCAAGGTATGCAATAACTCGGTTGTGCTTCTTCTTCAATGTTATATGTGCAAAATCAGTAGATGTTTCCAAGCTAGATAAGTTGGAAGAAAATGTAGTAGTTACTTTTTGTTTGCTTGAGAAGTACTTTCCCCCTTCATTCTTTGATATCATGGTTCATCTAGTAGTACATCTTATCAGAGAAATTCGTCTATGTGGGCCAGTATATTTTAGATGAATGTATCCGTTTGAAAGATATATGAAAATGCTACAGGGGTATGTTCAAAACCGTACTTGTCCCGAAGGTTGCATTGCTGAGCGGTATATAGCTGAAGAAGCTGTAGAGTTTTGTACCGAACATTTATTTGATGTTAGTACAGTTGGAGTGCCTTCAAGCCAGAAGATGGAAGTTTCAAAGCCATTATCAGGTTGTACAGTGAGCTTAGTTGATCGGGACTTGTTGAACCAGACACATATGTCTTTGAGAATACGGAGGAAGTCCTGCCTTATATTGAGTACGTATGAGTTTTATTTTTCATATGTAGCTATTTTAAATATTATTATTCCTTATGTTTATCTTATATACAAGGGACTGTAATGCTTGATTTTTTCGTGTCAATGTAGGGAACATATGATCCACATCAAGACCACTTATCCGAAATTTACAAAGAGAACAAAGTGACTACAAGATAAGCACAATAGCACTTTCATTCAATGGCTACACTTTAAGGTATATATGTTATTGAATGACATATTGAACTTTTAATTTTCTTTCTTTTTATATATTAGATTGAATTAAGATATATGATTAATTTGTAGGTTCAAAGTGAACTTAATGGGGAAGAGAATAATGGCGTATCAGAAAATTTGAGGTGGCTAGCAACTGGTCCAAGCATGGCAGTGCCATCATATAGGAGCTATCTTATTAATGGTATTAAATTTAACACCAAGGCACAAGATGATGTGCGAACTGTCCAAAGAAATGGAGTTTATTTATTTGCACATGCTATGCAAGTTGCTAGTGCCAAGGATAAAAACCTTATTGTCTCCAATATGGGTTTTATGGTGTTATTTAAGAAATTTGGGACCTTGACTACCAAAAGTTTAGAATCCCAGTATTAAGGTGTGATTGGATAGATAACACTTTGGGTCTTGTAGTCGACGAACTTGGATTTACCCTTGTAGATCTTAGTAAAATTGGACATAGGAATTACCAATTTGTTATGGCTTCTCAAGTCAAACAAGTATTTTATGTTGACGACCCAATGCATCGTGGTTGGTCGGTAGTGTTATCAATGCCTAATAGAGAATATAATGATGTTATTGGTGATGATGTGCTAGGTGATATTAGAATTGAGTGTGCGCCATTTACTAGGGGGATACCAAATGTTGACACATTTGATGACATGGTGGGTGAGTTCGAGAGTGAAAATATTAGAGATGGGTGTGAAGATATATGGATTGATTGATTGTTGTAATGTAAGACATTAGTTATGCAATTTATTGTATGACATTAATTAAAAGTTATGTATATCATTTTAATTCTGATCACATTTTCATTATGTAGGCTTTGGGCACGACAAATCAAAATTTTAAAATACTGGATTAAAATACGACGGTCCAGTTAAAAAATTGGAAAAACTGACATCTAAAATAAAACTAACGTCATATTTTTACAAACGTCGTGGAAAGAAAATGCAAAAGACCGTAAAGAAATAAACATCACCATCTGAAAATGAAAACACGTCGGTTTATTAAAATTAAATTGCAAACGGATGTAAACATCAACGACGGCCTACACAACGTTGGACCATAACTTGCGTAAGCGCATACGAAAAATTCTTGCATACCCAAGTCAGGCTTCTTTCTCGGTTAAGTGTTGTATTGAACCAGAAATATATTTGGGCCCAGCCTTGAATTTTTTGGCCATCAACACCAGTATACTTCTTTTGCTGTATTATTTGTAAGTACATGGTCTCATTGTTCTCTTTCTTTTTTGCAAAGGTTCCATTGTTTTCTCTTGTATATTTGTGAGCATGAGATTGCATGTATTTGGGGCTTAGGGTTTCTTCTATTATGATTAAACCCTAAACTCTTTGATTGTAGTGGATTACTCTACTGTTTTCAAACTGGATGTAGACTACAAAGCCTAATAAGAAAATCTCAGTGTTTTTGGTGATTGTTTTGGTTTGTTCCTTTATCTCCAGCTTGTCTTTGTTTGCACTTACGATACCATTGGTTACCAAAGTTCAGTTGGATTTATATCACATGTAGGAATGGTAAAATTGAAATTAAGGGTGGGAATTAATCCAGCTGAACTGATGAAACTGGCTAAACCAAATTGTAATTATTGGTTTGGTTTGGTTTTGACTAAGAAAAAGCCAAATAGTTTAAAAACATAACTGGACCGTATATGGTTCAGTTTGGTTTCATTTTGAGCTTTTGTAAATCGGCCTAAACCAAACCGGACTGTTTATGTGTATATTTATTTATTTATATTAAATTTTACAATTGAAATACTCTAATTAGGTAATATATATATATGGATATTTGAATTGAGTTATATTAGTTATTGAAGTTTGAAGTTTTATAGCATGTTGAGCTTAGGATGTTTTTGTATTCTAGAAAATGATTTAAGCATGGAGCAAGTTGTGAATCTGTGGTTTGTAATTTGGCTAATACAATTTAAAAATGCAAAACAAAAGAGAATTGGGCTTAGGCCCAAACCGACCAAACCGAACCATCTCAAATTGGTTTGGTTTAGTTCGGTTTTTTTCATGATTTTTGTCAAAACTAAACTAAACCAAACCATTATATTGTAATTGGTTCAACTGTGGTTTTAAGGTGAAACTAATCCAATCCGAACCGTGCCCACTCAAAATTGAAATTGTGGAAAACCAAGTTGATGTAACAAAATTAATAACTCCTGTGTCGGGTATTGTCATATAAAATTTTCTAGAGTTAATCAACTTATTTGCCCTTATTGCAAAAAATGCATATATCCCTGAAAATTATGAAAATCATATACAAAAATGGGCAGTTTCATGGGGCATTCCATGACTAACAAAAATACAACTAATTATTATTCAATAGGAAGTTTATACATAAACAAACTCATGATCAACAAATAGCAACAAGTACAATTGATTAAGCAGGTGCATATATTCAAATAAATTTGAATGTTCTGCTGTCTCTTTATCCTTCCATAATTAAGCATGTGTACATATTCAAATGAGTGATGCTATTTGTACCACATTTACTGATCACATATTGCTAACCACTGTTGTAATAAAGGTGAATTCCACATATATTAGTGGGACCCACCACTATTAGAGACACGATTTTGCTGATCGTCAATCAAATGTGATGCAAATAGTATTATTGTATTCAAATATGCTTACGTGGGCATGTTTATGTGATTAAGGGCACTTAGGCTTGTTTCCATGTGTCTTGAGTTTTGCATAACATGGGCATGCTTTCTTGTTCCCATAGGTGCCTGGTGGAACGCAGTGGCATCTCTCGCAACAAGATTTGCATGCTCGCTTGCATATCTTCTTTCTTGATGTCTTCCTGCATCTCCTCGAGCATGCATAGTTGCAATCTAATTCAACCCAGAAAATAAGATTAAGACATATAACTTATGACCAAGTACTGTAATTGTCGTTTTAATTGTAAAATTTGTCTCTAATTAGTATAGATAAAATTCTTTGGAGATTTTTTCCTATTAAGCTTGGCATCGCCTGCTACATTACAAAAAGAAAAGTAGTCGTACGTTCTTTCGTTTTCAAGATTAGATTAGATGGTGATCGTCCGAAAAGTTAAGAGCTTTTTTGTTTTTTTCTGCGATAAGGGCGACTGAAATCTGAAGAACATGTCATTAATCGATGTAGAAATTATAACATGGCAGTTGCTTACAGCTGATTATAAATAAATGAAATTTTCGAAGTGGATCAAGATATAAACAAATGAACTGCCCGCATTAGTTACGCACTTAGAATTATTGTAAGCTAGCTAGCTTGAGGACTTATAATGAAGAATATACAATATATATGCCCTTATCGCAGAAAAAAGACTAGAAAGATTATAAAACATAAACATTCCAAATTACATTTTACTTTCCTTTATAATTTTGGCAATTAAGAGCTTAAACTAACTTCGCAATTACGAGAAATTATAGTCATGTGGTATAACTTGTACACGTTATACAAGTTATACCACGTGGCCATACTAGTCTATAAGACAATCACTTAAATCATTCAAGTGAAGAAACGTGGCAACACTATCTAGTGTTAAACAACTTACTGATTTTGGGAAGATGATGCGCCTTCTTACTAAGAGCTACCACTGCGTAATTTCCTTCAAGCATCTGAATTCCAAAAGGTAAACAAATGAGAGATCGAGCTCATTATCTCGTTTTCTCTTACATTGAAAATTAATGCTTTCAATTTCTCCAGATCTATAATGTATAATCTTTAAAAAAAATTAATAAAGGAAAAGATTATGTCACGATTGGCAGCAAGGGAAACTGGAAATCAGTTACACAAAAGTATTCTTTATTTATTTGCTTGTTCGAACCAATTAACTCTTAGACCAATTGTATTTATCTTCTCGATGTTGGCAGAGGTCTCAAATTCGAAACCGTGACTAAATTTTTTAAAAAAAAATTGCTTGTTTGAATCCTAAATATGCGTATTATCTTCTCAATATGTAGAGACCCATTATCTTCAAATTAAGAACAAAATTAAGGAAAAGAAGACGTACATTTGTGGTAGAATTTGCAGCATCACTGAATGATGAAACCTCTGCAAAAGCCTGCCAAGAATATTAGTATTAGACATCAGAGCATGCAGTACAAATTAATAATTAATTAAGCTTACTTTGCTACATGATTAACCAATTTAATTAATCCCAATGTTATCATGCACGCATCAACTTTGTTGCAATATACGCACCTGCAGGAGAAGAATGGTGATAAGAAAAATGGAGAAGAGCTTCATCTTGTGAAGTGTTTAGTTTGTGCCTAACGATAAGGTTCAAAGAAGAGGGAGGTATTTTATAGACTAGTTTTGGGTTAAATTAAATTTTTATTTTTTTTATTTTTTTCATCTTGACATATATCTTCTCAGATTCACGGGTAATAATGAGGCAAATTCACAGGCATTCAGTTGAGAGTGCTCAGCTGGTAGCTAGCTAGCTGCGTGTTTTGCCACAGTAAAAAGACCCTCTTTTTGGAACCATCTTTCTCTTTATTCTTGTTGCTTTTTACTCGTGTCTGTGTGTGATCACAGCTGTTGATTCTTTGGCCTGTTATGAGTGAGAGAGAGAAAGAGAGAGAGAGAGAGAGATGGTTCCCCCACCACCACTTGGGCATATTCTCTCATGGCTTGGCTTCAAAATAACTAAAGCTCATGGAGAAATCAAAACGAAAATTGATCTCAATGGAGAATGGAAAAAATAAAATATATATTTTAAATTGGATTAGAGAACAGACATTGAGAGTGGAGTTGTTTTGGTTATCGGTTTCGGATGTTGTGGTACTCTTTTTTCTTGACCGGATTTTCTCCATTTAGGGTTTTTATGGCAAGGTTTTAATGAGACCACCTCTTGTTGCATTCATTTTTTATTGCAAATTGTATGGTTGATGGTTGGAATGAAAGTTTCTTACTCTTTGATAAAAAATAAAATTAAAAAAAAAAAAAAACTTAGAACACTAATCTGAAGAAGTCATAAAAAAAAAAAAAAAAATCTTTCAAGAAATCTGGATTTATGACATGCATATTTTGTTTATTGTTTTCTTTTTAATTTTGGAATAAATAGTTTTTAGGAAATTATTTTCTAGTTTAGATTTATTTTTATGAAGTTTAAGATTTTAACGTTTTTTGTTGTCAATTAAGTTTTATGAATTTTGGAACAATTAGAGTTTCCTAATATTTTAGGTTTTCATGATTTCTATTTACGCCAACTTATGTCGTAGTCGCCAATTTATCATGTTATTAATAAAATTCAGAGAATTTTCACTATTTTATGTGGATTTTGGAAAACTGATGAATTCCAATTTATGCTCTTGAATCTAAATGCTTATTACGAATTCCTTAATTGTGTTTCTTAATGGGTCGGTTGGTATCACACCAAATTGTCATTGAAAGTAAGGGCATACTTTTAGGGTCGGATTCAAGATTTCGAAATAAGATGGGCTTAATTTACCTTTTGGATAGACTTTAGACTTTGGGCTGGGTTAAAAATTAAAACTTATATGATGGGTCTGCTAGGTAGAAAAAGGAAATATGTGAAATGGGGAAATAGAAAATAAGTCAATATTCATTCATCTCTGCTTGCTGAGGTGTCTCAAAGCAGTAAAAATGAAACAGAAAAAAACAACATCTCAACATAACAACTAATGGTAAATAGCTAGACTAAATGTAAATGGAGATAAAAAGGTAAGTGCCCAATATAGAAGTGGAGCCCTATGAACTCCACCCCTCCCAAAATCAGGAAAATGAGTTTGAATGACTGAGGCATCTTCCCAGGTGGCATCCTCCTCTGGTAGACCGATCCATTGAATTAACCAGCAAGTGACAGGTCGGTTATTCCTCTTGACCAGTCCCCTCCCCTGTTCAGTATTTTATCTGGAAGCCACTGGATTGCTCCATCAGAGAGCATGGAAGGCAAAGACGTGGTGGTGGTCACCTAGTCACCGACCTTCTTCTTGAGTTTCGACACATGGAATGTGTGATGCATGCGGGAGTTGGGTGGAAGCTCCAACCTATACGCAAACTTGCCAATCTTAGCCAGGATCTTGTATGGACTATAATATCTAGGGGACAAGTTGGGGCAATGAGAATGGCGGATGGAGGAATGTCTATATGGCTGCAAGCGAAGGAAAACCCAGTCACCAACCTGAAATTCGCGCTCAGTGTGTTTGGAGTTTGCATATAATGTCATCCTCTGTTGGGCAAGCTGCAGTGGGTTTACCAACGTATCACTATGCCAAGGAACACAGGGGAGCGCAACAGAGGATGACATTATATGCAAACTCCACTTTGAGCAGCCACTTTTGTTCACTTGGCATAGTGATTCATTGGTAAAGGAAATATTGAATGGTTCTGTGATTTGTGAGGATGGTGAAGGGTCTACCAATAAGATAGGGGCGCCAATATTGTACTACACTTGCCGTGGATGCAAATTCTTTCACGCAGTCTGCCGCTAGGTTCAATTTGCGAGATGGGTGAGAGTGACCTGCAAAACAGTCGAAGGTGATGGATGAAAACTGGTGTGGTGCCTGCCAAGGAGCCTCTGATGCCTAAGGCAGATGGTGTTCGTAGTCTTTGAAAGGAGTTTGCACTCGAGAATGGATAGTTTATGGAGTTGAATCCAAGTTAGTTAAGTGGTTAATGTTACCATGTTTGACTGGCAACAAGGTTTATATAGATGGCGAAATCTTCAAGTTATTGGCGGTTGCAAATGACAGGTGGCAGGTTCAGAGCCATTGTATGCTTGCATTTCTCAAGTGGTAGAGAAGATTGTGGGATTCTGGCGGCTATTAGCCCATAACAACACTATCCTAGTATAAAAGATAGTAGTTGCGATCTCTTCCTGGAAAGATAGTAGTTGCGATCCCTGTGAATTTGTGGGTACATGGGAGCGCTGAGTCGTGGGTGAGTAGTACACCTCCGCTGATGAGGTGATCCTCAACTGATGCTGATTGGGCCATGTTGGGCTAGTAGATGACTACTCTGTGCCTTGGGGCTTTGAGTGTGCGCCTTTGAGAACTTGACAGGCCCAGCCTTTTGGGCCAATGTGTTGGGCCTAATCTGGCATATTATAGTTGATTGGCTACTATGGTGCCTAAGGGCTTACGTCATTAGGTGCCAGCTCTTGTGCTTCACGTAGGATGCAAAAGAGATGAATTTTCCTAATTCACGTACTTCGTTGGTGCATTGCCCCTAGGTCCAACGTGCTGCAGGTTGTGGACTCTTCAAATTCAGAGGATAGGCGGTTATAAAAAGTTGAGCTGCTCCATTATTCTTCCATTAGCTTTCTAAAGAGATACGGTGCACATTCCCACACTTTTCCCTTTTGTCTTCCACGCTAAGAGAGAGAGAGAGAGAGAGAGAAACGTCGAAACCCTTCTCTCCAATTTCTTCAATTTCCTTCGTCTATGTCTCTGTCAAATCAATCTGCCATGTCTTCGAGAAGGAGAAGCCATCAAACTTCCCTAGAGGTTCCACTGTATCAACTTGCACATCAACGCATCATCGCCCTTGTAGAGTATGATGACACCCCTAAAGTGCTTAAGATGGCTTTTGGGATCGTAATCCCTTTTGAATGGTGTGAAGGTACGCGTCGTGAACCGCTTTGGTGGAGCTGCCTCCCCAATTACATCGGTGAACGACGAGGAGTTCACTTGGTCTACTTCTTTGCGTAGAGCATCTTCCAAGTCTCCTCCGACCCTTAGGCCTCAAAGCCGATCACTCACGAGCTTCTCGACATATCCTCTGAAGGGAAATTATTGTGTAGGGATTTCTAAAATCCCATGAAACTATGAGAGAACAAATCATCTAGCACATGCATATCTAATATGCAAACACAATGAAGCAGAAGCAAGAATAAAACTAGAGATTCATACAAGTCTCATCTTAGGTCCCAATCTTTGAGACTTATGAAAACTTGCACCATAGACTCTCTAAAATAACTATTTAGAGAGTGGTTAAAGAAGACATACCCTTGGAGTGAATCTTGAAACCAAGGATGGTGTTCAAGTAGAGGGGTTGATCCCTTAGATATTGATTCTCCACTTTGCTCTCCAAATAGACACAATAGTGTTGTGCCTCCCCAAAGAATCTTCACCAAGGATAGAGGAGAATAGGAGAATAAGGAAGCTTGAAGAGAAGATGGGTGCTAGCCTTTTCTTCCTCAAGTGGTCGGCGAAGAGAGAGCAAGGAAGGGAAGTTTGATGTTCCCTCTCTTCCTCAATGTCTAACTTGAAAAACCCTTAGGAGGTGTGGTGTTATGGCTATGAATATATAGACACATATTGTAACACATGTGCCACACCCTCCCTTTCATTGGCCTTTTTGGGCTACTTTGGTCTACCGCATTAATCCCATAATCTGTCACACCTTACCTAAGTCTATAAGGTCAATTTCTATAAATATTTAAGTCATATTCTTATGATGGAAAGGTCTCGTAATCTAACTTTTTTAGACTGCTTTCCATTTATATCTTAAACTAACATTCATGCCCATTCGATTATATTAATTGTATTATATCCTTTGAGTATTCCATTTTATATTGGCTTCTAGGGCATATATCTAACAGTCTCCCACTCGCAATGCATGTGGTTCATGTTGATGTTATCTATGGTGTCAATGTTGCTGTTCAACCTCCTCGGCTCTAAGCCTGGAATCTTCTCTTTCGGTGTGAGATGGTGAGTGTCTTCCTTCACGCTCCGCATGTGGTAACCTCGAGTGAATGCTTCTCTGTAGGCCCAGGCGGGCATGAATATCATATTGTGCTCCCAATCTTGAACGGATACTCGTCCTACTTTGGTCACGACTCGAGGATGTTTGGGATTCGCCTGCTCAACACATTCATGTCCTCCTTCTTTCTTGCTGGTTCCCGCATGATCTCCTTGGGACCTCTCAAGACATCTGCTGGTGCGCTTGTCCATTCTTCTCTCTTCACCAGCATGGCGGCGACGGCGGTGAGATTGCCCTAGAAGCCAATATAAAAATGGAATATTGTAACGATATAATATTATTAATATAATCAAAGGGGCACGAATGTTACTCTAAGATACATAATGTACATAAAGTAACAAGTCCATGGATAAAGATATAAATGGAAAGCAGTCTAAAGAAGTTAGATTCAGAAGACCTTTCCATCATAGTAATATCAAATCCTAAACTCTTCTGTTCATAAGATCACCAATTGGACAATGGTGATCCACAAAGACTGGTACACACTATGTCCGCTCAATTGGGAGGATGACTAGTCTTAAGTCATTCGTGTAGAGACACTGAGATAGGTGTGCAGGTGCTCTATAGAGATGGAATTCACTGAACACAATCAACTCAAGAATTCTTGTACGGAAGTCTTACTCACAAGTGTCAACAAAGAATTCTAAGTTATGATAATGCAAATTAGTCCTTAGACCTAAGACATCACGGTTGTCTTGTGTATGAGTTGTTTATCTTTGAGAGCACCATACAGTCGTATCAGAAGGTGTTCCTCATGATACTCAACATATGCACAGAGGCATGTGAATGTACAACAAGGAATCTCTACTCTTAGTAAGAAGAGAGAATACACTAAAGATATGATTCGTTGAATCTTTGGTCAAAGTACAGGATGAGAATTGATACAAGAACATTTTCAATTACATCCCAATGAATCATATAACCTAAAGATGTCATATTAGGGATTTGACACTTGTTAACCATATACCAACAACACAACATAAAGTATTGTAATAGAGAAGGACCGAATTGCATTGTAATCACAAACTGACTAGGTTCTCAAAATGAATTCTATTTAACTGAGGTAGCCATGACATACTGCTAGGTGTCGCTCATAATTTGTGGAAACCCTGTAAGGACTAATTACAATTAGTCGTCATCAATAGGGAGAATTGTATATAGGGATACAATTCACATTCAATTTATAAGTAATCATTCTTACCCATGACCTCGTTGATTAGAACCTATAAGATCACACACCGAAAATGTATGGATCAAGAATTTAAAAGAGAATAAATGATTTTGCGGCTTTGTGAAAGTCAAAATCAAAGTCAATGTCAATGTCAAAGTCAAAACTCAAAATTGAAGGTCAAACTGTTGACCCAAGACTTGACGCGATCAACACAAAGTTGACTAGGACCAATGCTTGTTAAACAAGTTAGTGATTTAATTAATTAAGTCATTAAATCAATTAAACTAATTAGATTAACTTAATGAATTAATTAAAGTTATGAAACTTTAGTTTTGGTCCTACATGACTTAAACGTTTAAAGGAAAATGGACCTTATAGACTTAGGCAAAGTGTGACACATTATAAGATTAATGTGGTAGACCAAAGTAGCCCAAAAAGGGCCAAGGAAGAGGAGGGTAGGCACATGGTTTTATTTTTTTGTGGCACATGTGTGACAATATGTCTCTATATAATCATAGTCATACCACAACACCTCCTTAGGGTTTCAAGTTAGGCATTTCGGAAGAGAGGAAAACATCAAGCTTCCTCCCTAGTCTCCCTTGGCCGGCCACCATAGAGAAGAAAAGACTGGCACCCAATTTTCTTCTCTTGGTTCCTTATTCTCTCATTCTCATTTTAACTTGGTGAAGATACTTTGGGGAGGCATAACCTCATTGTGCCTATTTGGAGCACAAAGTGGAGAATCAATAACTAAGGGACCATTCCCTCTACTTGAATACCATTCTTGGATTCAAGATATGCTCCAAAGGTAACCTCACTTTCTACCTTCTCTTTAATATGTGATATTAGTGTCAATGGTGCAAACTTTCATAAGCCTATAAAAATTAGGACCTAAGTTGAGACTTGCATGAATCTCTAGCTAATTTATTGCTTCCGCTTTATTTGATTTCATATTTGATATGTATAGTCTAGATGATTTGTTCTCTCAAAGCTCCATGGAATTTTAGAAATCCTTACACCTAATTTTCCCTTCATCTACCTCACCACACCAAAATGGACTAAAGATGAAGAGAAATCAACCTAGAGAACTTAGGTGTTAGTCTTTCTCTAGGTTGGACCAATTTTTGGCTAAGGAATATATTAGGGAGGATGTCTCTCCTACACATCTAAGCTCAAAATGAAATGCCAAAAACCCTAGCTAGGTTTTGAATCAAGTTTAGTTTATATAGGAAAAAGCAAAACAAGAGAGAGAGAGAGAGAGAGAGAGAGAGAGAGAGAGAGAGAGAGGTATGTGCTGTCTCAACATTTCTCTTTGGGCTCATTTGGCTTTTGGGTATTTTGCCTTTTTTTTAAAATCATATTTAAAGCCCAATCCAATTTCTTATGTCAAAATTAATTCCATAATCAACTTTTAATTATGATTTATGATTTAACCTTTAAATCACTATTATAGTCTTACTAATTTGACTTGGTCAAACTATTTGTCTTGATCAATTACTCTGGTCAAACATGTTGACTTTGACCTTTGACTTTTGACTCCTAATTTCTTTTCTCTTCATTCGTTTCTCTAATCACATTTCTCGGTGTGCAATTCATAGGTTCCTTTTAGCAAGATAGTGGTTACTCTCAACTTCTCGGAGTTGACTATTTAAATCTTCCTATTTGTGAAGGTCAATTAGGATTGAACCTTTTAGGACTTCCACAAACCATGGTTGATGCCTAGCAGCTTGTCGTGGTTGTCCGAGCCAAATAGGTGTAGGGAAGAACCTATTCAAATTGGAATGACCGTGCAATTGAATCCTTCTCTTATACAATACTCCTTATTCACATTATTAGATATTGGAATCTCATGTCAAATATCTTAATGTGAATTATCCTTTTTATATGATTATCCTAATTAGATTTGATGACTTCTTCTTTTAAGTCTTATATACTAATTTTCGCAAAGATTTGATCAATCATATCTATTAGAGTATTCTCTCTCTTTTACTAAGAGTAGAGATCCCTTGTTGTACATTCATTTGTCTGCATGACTTTATTGAGAGTCCTGATAAAAACCTTTAAGACATCTGTTCTTCAACACGACTATATGGTGATCTCAAAGACAAATAACATAGCCACAAGACATCTATGATGTCTCAGGTTTAATGATTAGTTTGCATCATTGCAATCTATGAGTTCTAGTTTGACATGTGAGTAAAACTTCCATACTAGAACTCATGTATTTCATCGCATTTAGTTGTTCTCCTGCAAGCACCTACTTACATATGTTGGTGTCGTCACACTCAATGACTTGAGACCTTGTCATTCTCTACATATATAAAAGATATTTTGTGTACTGATCTTGGCGGAATATCAATGCCCAATTGATACTTTTATGATTAGGAACATATTTAGGATTAGGGATCATGATAAGTCTCGATGTATGCAATCTCATTACATAGTTCTCATGTCCACTTATTATATATTCATAGGACTGCAGTTGTTTAGTATTTCATAAGTTAACACAATCATGAATTTAAACAACTGGTCTTGCCCATAAATAACTTAATAAGTCATTACATAAGATGTCATTAATACTAACTATTACATAATTAGTTGGCTTTAAGGGCATATTTCTAACAAGTTTTTCTATACGGGGAGAGAGGGAGGCGCAACACCGAAAGAGAGTGAGAGAGGGGCGGCGCGGAACCGGGTGAGAGAGAGGAGAGAGAGGTGTGAGCCTTGTGTTTTTGCTAGGGTTTTCAAAATTACCTCATGTGTGGTGTGATGCTATCTTTATATAGACTCTCCATCTTTGTAGGAATTGTGGAGAATACTTCCCTATTGATGGGAATTATTTTTTTCCATAAATAAGGATAAATGAAGGAGATCTGGTGGAAATCGAATCCTTGATTTATGGAGATATTCCTATCTTAAATTATGATAATTGACTAATTAATTAGCACAATTATTTGACCTAAGGAATATTCATCTTCCATGTGTCACTTTCCAATTGGTTGCCAAAATTCCATGTTCCCACAACGGGGAGAGAGAAAAAGACGAGGAGAGAGTCGCAGAGTATGGCTGGGGGACTATTGGGGTGGATGTGGGTGGGGAATGGGGCAGGGGAGGTTGCGGGGTTGGGTTGGGATGGGGGTGGGGGAGGATATAGCGGTGGGTGGGGTTTGGGTAATCTGGGTTTCTTTTATTCTTGGTTTGGTTTTTGGGTTTTGGTTACTTTTTTGGTTACCTTCGTTTTTGGACCGAAATGCCTCTCAACAACTAACGGCAGTTACTTTATTTTGACATAAATTAGAATTTGTTCTTGTATTGCTTTAATTGAAAACGACATGGAAAAAATTGATCAAATTGAAATGATAGGGACCAAAATAATAAAAGTGGCAAACTACAAGCACCAAAAACGACTTTTTGCCAAAAATAAATCAAAATGGGTCTTGGCAGCCCAAATGGGTATTTAGGGGGATGAATTGCCCCATATTAATCCTCCTCCAGCCATATATATTTGCCCCATAGTAAAACTGAGGCCCAAACACTTCGACATATAGCTTTAACCTTGTCCTGAGACTTAGACATGGGTTGGATTATTAGGAGGATGAATTCATCAGCTTACATAAATACATACATGTATTTCTTTTCTCTTTTTAAAAAAAAAAGAAAAAAGAAAAAAAAAGATTGATCCATCAACTTATCAAGAATTTGCTGATGAGCCCATGGATCTTCTTGTTACAAGCCAGGAAAGCATCCAAGAAGATGGTGGTTTTGAGCTTCTTGCTCATAATTTTGGGGTATCAATGGCACTTCAAGTAAGCTGTCCAAATTTCTCCAATCTATGTGCTGATCACTGCTATTCATGTTGCTCCTTTGGTCGTCATAGTGTTCAGTGGTTATATTATTGTTCTGCTGCTCATGCACACTTTGTTTGTTGGTCAAGCTTGTTGAAATGCTTGGGCTCTCTAGTTGAGGAAGTTCTATGATTTGGTTGCCCATGAAAATATGGTTTGAAATGAGATGATCTTGCTGATCCAAACCAAAGGATTGATATTGAAAACCTTGGCTCGGGTTCACCATATGCATCTCACTCCCAAAATTTGAAGATGAAGCATGGCTGTTATGTTCTCTGATATAGTAAGCATGCTTCAATGCTTCAAAACCTTGCCTGTGGCTAGGGCTTGGCTTCTTGAATGCCCGGCATACAACCCATCCTTCTTCCTGCATTGTCACCACCAGGCCGGATTAGTGGCTTGATTATAAATTAATTTTCTTAAATAGAGAAATATATGTATGATATTGTAGTACGACCATAATATGAGTCAACGATATGGTTAAAATTTTCTGCTTTTAGGGAATAATATCAAAAAATATCCGCTTATATTATAACACGTAAATGAACTATACCACGTCACCATACTCCACTACCGCACTAGTCCACTTTCAAGAATAAATATATGTTATTGGTCTTCTTTTCTCTCCTAGTCTTGCCAAAATATTATTAATTAGTGTCTAATACAAGTACTAGACCATTAGAAATCAAAATTAAATTAGTTATATTATATATTTAGGGGAGTTTATGGGATAGATATTGAACTTGCCTGAGGGGGTGCATGTTCAGATGTTTGGAGGCGATATTCATGCATGATCCAGTCAGTTTTGTTCCCGTTAGGTGCTCGTCCCTTGTAGAACACAAGGGTTTTCCTCATTCCTATAATGTTGTTCTTTGAAAGCACTGCCTTGTCCCTTCCTGTTGCCTTCCAGAATCCGGCAGCCGTGGCTCTATTTGTCCGAGTTCCGGTTGGGTACTTCTTGTCTTTGTGACTGAAGAAGTACCACTCATTCTGTTCACTGTAACCTAGCTTGCATCTTGCTGCACCACACCATACATAAGATACATGTAGCTCAGTATCTATATATTTATGAATGCACATATGCATGTATATTTTAGGAAACAAAAAACAGAATACGGCAGAAAAGAAACTGCCCTTTGCGCGTATTAAAAATTTATAAAAGAGGAGTACATAATGACTTTTGGAAATAGTGTCAATAACTCTTTTAATTTTTTCAGTACAAGAACTCTTTTATTTAACCGTTTTTATTATTTTTATTTATTTTGAGGAAAGCACTTGCAGAAAAATGTGTGGCATGATGCTTACTAAAAAGATGAACATTGACTAATTCAGAGGCAATAAGTGCATTATGTGTTTTTTTTTGTTGACAAAAATATATCAATGCATCTTTCATATGTATATATGATTCCTTGCTACAAATTGTGTCATACCCTAAATTTAAAATGTAGTATGAACGTATACATACTTAATTAGGTCCATATATATTTAATTTGTGCCATATCCATCGATCGAGGTTAATCGATCGAGGTCAAATATCAAATTTAATTCGATCTTCATGTGTATATATATATATGTATGTACCTTGTATGTCCCAAGGTTCAATTTTGTACAGGTCAATGTCAATAATGACGTCTAGATCAATTTGTAGTGAGTTGATCTTTCTTTTCAGGTAGTAACCCACAAGTTCTTCTTCCGTCGGGTGAAATCTAAAGCCTGGTGGAACACAAGACTCCATGTGATCCATTAACAATCTTCTGGTCTCCGAGCCTGAATATCAAGTATGGAAAAAAAAAGAGTATGAGAGAGAGTGTTATATATAGAACATCTTCATTATGCTTTTGACTCTACGTGTGGTTGAATATATTTTCATCAACATCACATCAGCTTGAAACTTCCTTTTTTTTGTGGGTTTAGGCCTAACATATGAAAAGTCAAGTGAGGAGACAAATATTGACTGTTGGAGGAATATTGAAGTGGAATTCTAAAAGACTATTAGAGTAGCTAAGCTAGCTAGTAATGATGGAAATTTCATCACTTTGTGGGAGTTGTTAGTGGTGTTGCATGTGTTTGTGGCTATGACATTGCCAAAAACAATCATGGCATTTGCAGAGGAAGAGTGTGGAGCCCACCGCACAAACATGGCAGATGATCGAATTAATAGTGGTTTATCCTTGTAAGTAAGGATAATTAAGTGATTCAGTCGGACTCTCATGTTAGTCCATGGAATGTGTGGTACTCTTTCCTCCTCTAAGATTTGCTCTATGTGATTTTCCTAAGAAGGTTTTAATGAAGCCCCTGTAATCGTGCCGATCTTTATATGCCTTTATGAAATATGAATAAGATCTTCTTCTAAAAAAGCATAATTAAGTGATTGCTTTTTAATTAGTTGCATATGCATGGAGCAATTAGGAAAAGTATACTGAACACAAAAGTTGGCCGAAAAGCTTGACTTTGCTGGCACAAGCATGTTCTATTTCTTTGAGTGCAGTGCACTCCGGGCCTGCTACCTCCGCCTGCTAGTGCTTAGTTTTAGTGGTGGCTAAGTGCTGGAAATTAAAACATTTCATACACACCCTACGCAATATAGTTATTTCTTCAAGCAAAAAACCAGAAGAACAAAAAAAAAGGGAAATTGATATTTCAGCACATAATAATCCAAGAATGAGCTGAGATCAAAAACTCTCGCACACCAGTGGAAGATTCCTGGTGAGATCTAATTAAGTTACGAATAAGAAGTTATGATCCAATGTTTGATGCATATTTCATCACTCAAAATCAAAATGTGAAATTTTATGATGAGATTCAACATTTGCAATACCTAGAACATATATAATTAAGCTATATATATATATATATATATATATATACATGGTATATATTTTTTTTAAAGAGGAAATATATATATCGTAATTGGAAAAAGGCCACATATATTTATATATATATACATGCTATAGAAGGATTGACATAGATTAACAAAATAACCTTAGCTATAAGTAACCCTGTCTGTGTAGGTATAATATATATGATATGTAATATCAAACACAAAAATACTCACAGGAAAATAAATAAATGTATTGCTGCTGTGTGTCTTTGCTCTGGCCAAAGAGAAAATATCAGGAGATTGAAGCTTCTGTTTCTGAGAGATTGAGAGATTGAGAGATTGAGATCCAAAGAGAGGTCGATCGATCGATCGATCGATCGATCGAGAGAGAGAGAGAGAGAGATGGATGGAGGTAGACAGGAAGAATGCAGTGAATATAAATTTTTGTTGAAGAAAAAGAGAGGCTAATAAATGTATTTATATGCATGGAGCATGGAGCTTTAGATGAAAAAAAGATGAGTAGATGAAGAAGAGGGAATTAAGAGAGGATAGAGTGGTAAGGGTATTGATTACATGAGGATTGCGCGTGGGGTGGCAGCTGAGAAAATGAGATGGAAGGTTTATTTGGACGGCGTCACACCAAGTTTTCACGCCACCCCCCGCCCACCGCTATTTTGTTCCCTAAGCTTTTCCATATATATCAATTCAATTATAATATATATGTACTTTTAATGTTTTTTTTTTCTTGTTTTTTTTATATCTAAACTAGGTTTTAAGTTTTAACAACTCCACACTCACGCACTCTATGTCATGCATTTATCATCCATCACAAAATATTAGCAGAGATTCAAATGCATTGTATATTGTTGGATGCGACTACATACAATGTGGTCCAACAATTCGAATTGTCTAGTTTGAAAATAGTCTCTAAAAAACAATCAACACAATCAGATTTAACCCTCTCACACAGACATTCATCATTACATTCTCTCCTGAGTATGGCTTGGCTCCTTAAGATTGAGGAGGAGCTCTTGCTTACAACCAATGTGATTTTGACACTCGTCAAATTCCAGCAACATTAACAAAATTTCAACAAAAAAGAAAAAAGAAAAAAAAAAAATTTGACACGCTTCAAAACCGCACTGGTTGTAAGGAGGAACTCCTCCTCAATCTTCAAGAGCCAAGATTTTTCCTTCTCTCCTCTCACTATCCAGCCTATCTGTTTGGTGTGCCGCCCTTTGCCATTTGGCACCATTCATCTACTGACACCTATAGGGCCACGTCAGATTTCCAACCTGTCCATATCACAGAACCAATCATTTATCCTTAATTTGTTCGTATATTTTATACTTTTTCCCTGCGCAGATGAGTCCCGCCAAAGTCATCCATCACGATCACTTCTCTTTGATCACTAAGGTTTGGTTATATAGATTAAAGGCTTAATTAACCTTTTCTTATTCATTAATTTATATATATGGAAACAAGAATAACTTTTCTTATTGATTCACTAGGGTTTGGCTTGGCTAGCTTAATCTGTCAGTCCTTCGTGATCAGTCTTGGGTTGATATAATATATATAAATTCATAGAACAAGTAAAATAATTAATCTTTTTTCACTGATTCAGATACAAAAAAAGTTTGCTAGCCTTTTACAGGTATGGCTTCTTGTATATTTTTAAATTAGCATTGTTTTTCTGTTGGAAAAGGCCACCAGGAGGCTCAAATTAAATGCTACACACACAAATGTTCATCTCAATAGATATCTAAATACCAATTTCTAGAGATTTCAACACCATTGGAAGATTGCTCTATCACCTGTATTGGTGTGATTTTGAATTGACGTACCGTCCCAGTTATGTTGATTTCATGCTGCAACAGTTCAATCCAAGTTGACACCTCCTCACTCCGAATGTAGAGTTTTTCCGTAGGATTCAACTCATCAAGTTACCTTATTTAGCTCAATATTTAATTTATTATAATTTTTTTATTCCCAAAATACCGCTATAACAATTCAGTATTTTAATTTTTAATTCCCCAATTTATTGTGGTGATTCCCTTAAGAATTTTTGTATGCAATTAATTATACGTTTTATTATTAAAATTCATTAATAGATATAGTCAACAATGAGTTGGCTGGAAATGCTTAGTTTTCCTTATTTGCTTGCCTTTTTGAAATTTTGTTCCATCTTTTCCTTTCTACGCATGCTCTCGGTTTTTGGTTCAATAAAAGTACCTTAGGGTTGATTAAAAAAGAAGTGCCGCAGGGGATTTCATTATTATTTTAAAAAAATTTTGGATTTTGAATTTCATTTATTAAAGTTTTACTATACCTAGTTTTTCATGGATAATAATATACTTATTATTTTATTTTATATACAAATTCAGTTATATACTCAATCTTAGACATAGTCTTATAGAAAAACCCTATACCATTTAAAAACTATAAATACACCCAAAAAAAATTGAAAAATTGACAGCTGTCGATTTTTTCAATTTAATAGCTATTTTTTAGTTTATATGTGGTGTAAAATACCTATATTGCCCTTGTACTATGGATTTAGGATAGAAAAATCAGATTTGTCAAAAAAAATTTATATATAGTTTCTTTTTCTTTTATGAATGATAATATACCTATTAAAGTTTTATTGTACCTAGTTTTTCATGAATAATAATCTACAGATTATTTTTAATAGGTACAATAATTTACCTAGGTTATAAATAATATACCTATTATTGTACCTATTAATTTCATCCATAAAATAATAGGTAGATTATCATTTTTTACTGTACCTATTACTCCGGTTTGTTTTGCAGGGAGAAAGAGAAGCGAAGAAGACAAAGGAATCTTAGGCGAATATTCTTGTGGGACGAAAATCGCTCCCACAGGCATGAAACCACTCAAAGTAGTAATTAGTTTTATCATCTAATTAACGTACTTTTTTTTTTCTTTCTATGGCATTGTACCTATTAGAATATATATTATATAGATATATATAATTGAAGGATATTAGGTAAATATATATAATTGGAGGGTGTAGGTATAAACAAAATTCATTTATCCGACCTGTAGGAGGTTAGGATGGAGCATTTGAACTAATTTGATTGTAAGCCATTATTACATGAGTGCAAAAAAAAATGTGTAGTGAGAGGTATTATTCATTTGCATAAAATTGGGAATGAAAAACAATCAACCACCAAATAAAAGATCTAGTGGCATGATTTGTAAATAAATCAACTTATATGGACACATTGTCGCCCAATTTTAAAATTGGATTTTACTTAAACGTTGTATTATTAGTGGGTTATTGTCTATAGTGTTTAAGTTACAAGGGCCTATTTTAGCATGACCCAAATTATTATTACGGCTTTATTTATGATATGTAACCAATTCATCTTAGGACATAGAAAAGTACCAATATGAGTCGTCTCGAACTTAGACTACAGTGGCCTGGTTCGAAGTTAGGTTACTTGAGGCGCAAGTTATCAATTATTCATCTTTCTATTAGGCTCTTTGCATTACATACTACTAACAGTGGTATGCTCGCATCCAAAACAATATCCCTCCTTCTGCCTGATGCTAGAGAAATTTGAGGCCAACAAAATCTTATGATATCTACCGACTTTCCCATACTCTCTATTTTATAACATAGTGTGTGATTTTTCCATTTATATATAACACTCCATCGAACATGGTATACTAGATGATCATTCTTATCTCATTGCTTAGAAATTGCTTTCATCATCGTCATTAGCAGAAGCTATAGCAGGATTAATTGCTTAAATTAATTGACCACCCCTAATCATTTCGTTTGGAACTAGACTTGTCAACTTGAGATAATAAAACAATGGAACAATTATAGCTATTAAGAGAAACGATACAAACACCAGTGCTAGTGCAATATATATACTATATAGTATTAGCAAATGGTCATTTTTTAAGGACAATAGTTAGGTGCACTTTGGGGTACATCTATTTATCCACTCCATTTGATTCTTCACCATATACATGTCATAATCGGAACTGTTCATCTTAAATCACTATTTCAAGATCATCTATGCACAAAAAAAAAAAATTTCAATCAAATTTGCAACCATTTAGTCATCCATATATGTATCAACTAAATGAATGATTCATCATTATCTTAATTGCACACAAAATCATCAATTTGTTCGATACATATGGATAACTAAACAATGTCTAATTTGATTGAATTTTTTTTTTTTTTGGGTTAGAGATGATCTTTAAATAGTTATTTAAAAAATTAACAGTTCCGTGTGACATGTGTATGGTGAAGATTTGTGTTCTAAGTATTAGACAATTTTTTAATTACTAAAAGTTGGCAGATAATTAAAGATAACTTTATGATAGATGGCGTGTAATCAAGAAAGGTTTTCTACATAGGATCTCATGCTAGATTCTCCCGTTTAAGTAAAAGTCTGAGAGTGACCGTTCTCATGACTACTGTGTCATTGCAGAAGAAAAAGTACAAATATACAAAGTAAAAATCAAGCTTTTTTTTTTTTTTTTTCCTTTTATTTTAGAAAAAATAAAATAATAAAACAAGGAAAGAAAGAAAGGGCATGCTGATGGGTCAGGACTCATGAAATTAACGTTAATTTAATAATAGATTTCTATATTGTTCTTCTTTTTCTATTTTTCCTACAAATTTACTAAAACATAACTGAAAAAATTATCGCTTTCTCTAAAGAAAAATATATACCTGAAAAATATTTAACTAAAATAATACTGATTTAAAAAATAATTTTAGCTTAATTAGACACGTTTCTAGAATTAATTAGGTACTATGCATGCTTCATGCTACAAAGAAACGCATGCATGGAAAATGTAATCAAGAGAAAAAAAAAAAAAAGCATGTGGATGGCTCAAGTGACCTCCCATCACCTTTGTCTTGTGTGTGAACAAGCTCCATAACCATTAGGTACAAGGAGGAATCACTCATTAGTCCTTAATTATGAGAGCAAAACAACAATGGCAATCATGGTGATAGATCTTTCATGGATTTCATCACTGAATTGAAAATACTGAAAGTCGGCCTAGACAATTATGAGAAATTCTAAGAGTCCCTTTATGGTAAATGTGTGTCTAATCCACATCAATCCTATGCCAGTACCTGTATTTGTATGGTAAAAGAGTCCCTAATGAGGGACATATAATTAGTACATTATAGTCGGCAAATGTGAGGTTTCTGGTTTCCTAAGAAGGAATAAATTCTCAACACATCTTCTCATATGACACGTAAAAGCACGTGTGGATGTTGGACTCATAACCTTTCTCCAATACTATGGTCCAATTCAAAACTATTTGACGATTCTAATAAGATTTAATTTTTTTTATAAAAAAATTCATACCCTAACCCCATCTAGCTCGGTTATCAGGGCTTAATTATTTATCAGTGGACGGATATCTCTTTGACAAGTTCACATACCTTTTTCAATTTTTTAACGCAACGATTATCATAGAATCGAATTTAGTACCTCTTCCAACAAAGTAGAGAGTTGATCGGTATCACTAGATTTAGTGAGGGCTCATAATGAGTCAAACACCATCTATGAAATATGCATGAACACTGAATTGATGGGACTCTTGATTTACAGTACTAAACGCATTAAGCCTGAAA